CTCTCACCTTGGCCTCCCAAAGTTCTGGGATTACAGGTGTGAACAACCGCGCCCGGCCCCTTCCTGATTTGTTAACAAACATTTTAAATAAATTTGATGCTATCCTTCCTCAAGGCATAGCAGATTAGCAGGTAACTGGGAGGAGGAACTATCAGATGTGGATACAGTGACCGCAGTGTTTGGTGACATCAAGCAGGGAGAGAGAGAACCACCTCTGGAAGAACAATCTTTTCCAAAAGATTAGGTCAATGACATCCTCTACCTTTCATGTTGAAAGTCAGGGAAGCAAACGCGTCTTAGAAGTATAGATTATCCTATTTAAAATACTCCAGGCAAGGCCGGGCGGTGGCTGACCCCTGCAGTCCCTGCCACCCAGGAGGCCGAGGCAGGAGCATCGCTGCAGCCCAGGGGTCTGAGGTCGCAGTGGGCTGTGATCAAACCGCTGCACTCCAGCCTGGGCGACAGAGGGGCACCTTGTCTCTTAGAAACAAAACACCTCTAGGTGTCCGTGGTTTATTCTTCGGGCAGCGGGCATCCGCTCTGTCACCCCGCGAGAATAAAGACGGAGGCTAAGCCACGAGGGACGCCTCGATGGCACATCCGCGCGGTTTCTTCTCTAGCCTCAGCTCTGAAAACTGTCGTCTCCCTTGGATTTAAACGGCGAAGAGCCACTGTCGGTTCTGCATACGCAATGCCATCCTCGTCCCGGGTCCCCCGACTATCCGGCATGATGCGCGAGAGGTCGCCTCTGCAGAAACCGTTACCTCTGGTTCCCACAAGAACAAGCAAACACACGAAACGCAATGCCCAGCACGACGTCATGGGGAAGCGACGTCACTGAGACGCAAGTGACCATCCCACGACCACCACTGCCTGGTTATTCGGGCCCCAGGAATACCCCGCAGCCGCATGAGAAAGCGCCCACGGCCCCGCCGCATCACGTCCGCTGTCCCCGCGCCCGCCCGACCTGGTGCGCCTGGAAGAGGCGGCAGCTGCAGCACCGCAAGACGCGAGCCCGCTGAGGCGGCGACATGGCGGACACCCTAGCCGCCGGGCGTGCGCGTGCGTCCAGCGCTCCGTGACGTGCGCGTGCGCCCAGCGCTCCAGCGCGCTCGGGCCCCGCCCGCTCCAGCGCCGCCCGACGTGCGCGTGCGCCCTGCGTTCCCCGACGTGCGCGTGCGCCCAGTTCTTCGGCCCGCGCCGGCCCCGCCCCCCGCGCGCCCCCGCGCTCCTCCGTGCTCCCGCGCCTCCGCGCGGACGCTTGTGGCCGGTTGGGACCTGCGAGGGGCTCCGGGCGTCTCGCTGCTGCGGGGTCCGATGTCCTCGTGGGCTTGGGTTCCCGCCTCTTCCGGAACCGTCGTCCCGTGGGCTCGCTGGGCAGAGGGCGGGCGTGGAGGGGACCTGCGGGACGTGCGGGCAGGGCGGGCGGTAGTCCTCGAGCCGGCCCCGGAGAGCGTGCCCGGGAAGCGGAGGCAGCTCGCCAGCCCCACTTCCCGGAGACGGAGGCGGCGGAAACTGAAGAGCGACCCTCCGACGCCCTGGGGACGCGGAGGAGCGAGGCCGCTGGAGGGGTCGCCACCGCTTCCGCCTCAGCCGCACGGGACCCGGCGCCATCTCCCAAGGAAAAATATGCGTACATGAACTTTTAAAGGATTACAGACTTACTGCAGAAACGAGGGAAGAGATGCAGAAAAGTAGAAAAGCAATTTTTCCTAGTGCTTAAGACTACTCATTATTTTGGTGGTTATTTTTTTCTGGGCTGAGACGTTCATGCGTGCTTGAAACGTAAACCGTCTCGTGGAAGAGAATGGTAACGCCCAGCCCTGACGGGGATGTGCGCTTGTTAGAGCATGCTGGCGGCACAGTAACATGGGGACACCACGGAAAGCCGTCTGGCGGTCACTGCTACCCCGAGGAAACAGTCCGTATCACCCAGATTGTTTATGCGCTAGTGTTGGCTGAAGTACAACAGGGAAAATGGAAATATCATAAAGAATGGCATAGATCCTTATGCTGTTGTACCGAACCCACGAGGGGAGTTCAGTGTTGCCGAGCACAGAAAGCCAATTACTGGGACTGCGGATTGTCAGGAGGAAAGGATTTATTTCCGTGAACTCATCAACAGGGCGGGGGACGTACCAACTGCCTCAAATCCGCCTCCCCCAGCGGCTGGGGAAATCATGCTAGTACATACATCCCATGATCAAAGAGAGGCGGCTAGGCCAGGCGCGGTGGCTCACGCCTGTAATCCTAGCACTCTGGGAGGCCAAGGCGTGGATTGCTTAGAGGTCAGGAGTTCAAGACCAGCCTGAGCAAGAGCGGGACCCCGTCTCTACTAAAAAAATAGAAAGAAATTAGCTGGACAACTAAAAACATACACAAAAAATTAGCCAGGCATGGTGGCGCATGCCTGTAGTCCCAGCTACCCGGGAGGCTGAGGCAGGAGGATCGCTTGAGCCCAGGAGTT